TAATGAAAGAGGGGATAAATAAAAAGGAAAAGGGCACTTTCCCCACAATTGGTGTCACAATGATGCACACCCTGGACACATTCTGTCCATCGGGGTCACCTGTAAGGCACAAACAAAACAGAATTCAAAACATCCTTTCCTCCACCTAATAATCAGGTAGAACTTTCAAATGTCCCAAGAGGACTTAAAAGGACCATTGGGTCAGACCTTAGGGTCACTGCCAGAGGGCAAATGTCATTCACTTCACAGCTATGCTGAGGTCACCACCCCTCAGCGAAGGACAGGGACTGGATTGAGAGCTGGTGGCACCCAGCAAACACACCTATCCCCGCCACCTGCAGTCACCTTGGCCTCTTCGCTGGCCCGTCCACCAGGAGAGCAGTCATCAGGAGGAAGACTGCAGTCGGCCAGGTGTCACGTCCAGGCAGTGAATGACGCCCTGCACCTGGGCAGCAGACACAAGGGGGTTTCTAGCCTGTAGGTACATCTACATTAACTATTCAGTAGGTTCAGGTGCTTGACTTAGAAAGCAGCACGCCTGTAACTTCACAGGACAGAGCAGAGAGAGAAGAGCGAAGTGGACGGAAGCCTCCTGGGGGGCTCTCAACAGAACTCTAAGCACTATGTAGTTGCTGGGCTTCCCTGCACTGCCCAGTGTTTGCTTCATTTTAAATAGTGAGTCCTAGGTGTCATCACAAAGGCTTCTGGCTGGCTGGGGAGAGACAGTCACACTGGAGAAAGCAGCAGAGCCAGCAGCTGGGACGGGCAGACCAGAGGGCACCAGAAACACAAGAGGGGAAAGCTTTGCACAGCTACGGACACCTGCTTTGCTTCCTGGTCACCTAAGGCCTCTGCCAGGCCAAGCAGCCACCAGATGCTAGAGAGGCACCCAGGCTCAGAGGACAGGCCACCTGCTCAAAGCCATGCAACCAATCAGAGGCAGGTGGACCCTGTTTCCCCAGGTCTACTGGCTCCCTGGCCTTGCCACAGCTCAGCTAGGCCCAACCCTGACTCTTCATTCACAGACCAAGGGTGGGGTGTAGGTGGGGGGAAATGGAGCATTCCCCAATGGAGCTAGGAGGGGAGAAATGGGGCAGAAAGATATAGTTTACCTTTGTGCCACAGGAGAGAGACTGCTCTTGGCACCACAGCGCTTCCAGACACAGCAACTGCCCGTAGGAGCTCTCGATCAGGAGGAAGGGCCAGGCAAGAGGTGTTTGACATGCGTAGGCTCGAAAGGTCACACCTTTTACAGACCCTGAGTGGTGATGAACCTTCAATGGTGAGGGGAAATTGGGATCTGAGGGTTCTTCAGCACCTCACCCAATGAACCGGGTGGCAGTCGAGCAGCGCCCTCTGGTCTAGAGCTGTCCTTGCCTATAAGTTCACCTGTTCCCCAAAGTGAATGAGGCATTTCCAAAAACTCATGAACGCACCCTCCACAGACAAAGCTATAATTACACTCAGGTTTTACAGTATGTGCACCACACACTCATAAACCAGTCTATAAGTCATGGCTGTCCACAGAGCCCCTCTGGCAAACTCAGTGGAGGGAAGGGGGACATTATCAACATTCGTTTAAGTAAATCAAACTGCGTGAACTGTTTTCCAGTTTTTCAGATAGCTAGATTTTACTTTGATATCTTTTTGTTCTGTGTTTCACTTTTACTCCAAAATTTAAAACAAATGAGCAGAAAGGAAAGCATCACAGACAACCTGTCACCCTGGTGCACATGCTCATTCAGTCTGCAGACATGTACTCTGTGTTCACCTCACCTGCAAGCCTCCTACTGTGTGCCCAAAAGCCCCCACTGCATGAAGCTCTTTACTGAGTGACAGTTCCCTCAGCTAGAAGATGACAGCTCAGGGAGTCAAGCCTGGCACCAAAACGAGAAAACCAGAGAGAGCTCTCTCCTTCCCACCACTCCTGCCCGGTACTTCAGCAGGAGAAGCCCTTAGAAGCCACCAAAGGTGGCCATTAATCCTCTATTGTGCCCCATCCAGAACCCCAGGAGTATCAAGTGAAAAGCATTCCAGCTAAGGTTCTGTCCCTAGGGCATCTGTTTACTAGGTAAATTAACAGCTTCCAGGACAATGGAGGAAGATTGTCCAAGCTTTCCCTGAGGCCACAGGTCTCCTATCTGTACCTGTGTGCAGGCCCTCAGCAAACCAAACAACAGCAAAACATGCCTGGGAGGCGACAAAGGCTCCTGAAGCCAGCTAACCTCAAACAGTACCTGTTCCAAAACTCAACAGGAATGTCAACAAATTCAATAACCCCTTTGACAGAGTGGTGGTCAAATACCCTGTAAGATTTGGGAATCCATGGCTAAAGCCAAACCTCACTTTTTAAAAATTAGTTTGGATAAGTTCTCTAGAGTTTCTGTAGTTTCTTTGAGATTCCAGAATTTTCTTTTAAAAATTCCACCTTCGTTTTAGAGCTTGAACTCTGACAGGAGAGGAGTTAACGGGAACATGTGTGCAGAGCACTGGACCTCCGTGTTGGACCTGAGCAATCTGCACAAGATACTCTTCTCTGGTGCAGCCCATCCGAGAGTCAGCCACCACGTCCCCTTCTGGTGCCAAGGCTCACCATGTTCTAAGCTGTCTTTCACCAGAAGCACACCTGGAAAGCAGAGATGGGTCCCCGCCCCATACTTTATGTGCCTGGAAGGAGCCCACCTTCCTTCCAGCAAAGCTGCTGTAAGGATCAGTGAAAGGATGGATGGAACCTCCAGCCTGCTGTCTGGTTACAGCAGCGCCTCTGATATGCATCCTGCTGCCACTGAGGCTCTGTTCTCCTCCACAGTGTCCTGGACAGCCCAGCCTCCTCCTGGAACCCCTCACTCAATCAGGCTGGTGAGTGTCTACACTGTCTCAAGATTGTCTTCCCGTTCTAGAAACCAACATCCCACACATTCGGTATAATGACTCTTTTCTATTATAAACATGGTTACTTTTATAATTAAGAAAAAATGTACTTTACTTAAAAAAATATGATTCAGAAACAAATGACTTAACTGTTTTTAAGTCCCCTATAATCCCAGCACACGACACAGGTGGCATGTAATCCTGAACATGTCAGCTCTCGTAGGTGACCATCTGTCACTTTCTCTTATCCACAAATTCAGCATCTCTCCCCACCTAACTCTGAGCTGATGACCTGGTCTCCACAGGACACCCACCCAGCCACCATGTCTGTGCCCCAAGTCCCCACAGAGAAGGAAAAGAACGAACGACCTCTAGGAAGGGAGAAAGAGTGTAGCCTTGCCCATGACGTGCCATTCACTTCTTCCAAACCCAGGAAATAGATGCTATCTTAAAAGTAATAATAATCGGATATCTGTTATAATACAGTTGTACACACATGATTATACTAGTATGTTTCCCCTCTTTTATGATAGCACTAGTTTATAATTTTAAAAGTTTAATAAAACAAGGAAAAAGAGCAATAGGAACAGAAGGATATTCACATATAAGAAGTTAAGGGGAAGGGGAAGAATGAGAATTAACCCCTCTGCCCAAACTGAAGTCCAAGGTCTGTCTCCACAGGAAGTGGGAGTTGGCCCCACATCAGATCTCAGCCAGTGGGACTGCTTCCCAAACCAGAAGGTCCATTTGAAGCCCATCTCTTCCGGCTCACATGAACACGACCCACATTTACCACCTTCTCATGGTCTGTACAGCCACTGAAAATCTTCCTCCCTCCCACACCTGGTGGGCACCAGGAAGTTGTCTCAAAATGCCCAAGTGCACAAGGACTCAGTGTTTAAACAAAGGAAACACAGAGAGTGGGAATCACCATTGCTAAAGCGAGCAACTTCATCAGCCATCTGAAAGTACCTCCCACCCCAGGTCCTGAGGTAAAAAGTACACTGCTTGGTAGGTAGGGAGGATACAGATGGGAGTATAGAAGAGAGGAGACCAGCACCCCTGCAGGGCCCAAGCGCTGTGCCTTGGAACAAGCGCCTTCGAGGAGCACTGCAGAGAAACAGCCTAGGTCTGTGCTTGAGGAAAGGCCAATGGCGAGCTTGGCAGACCTCAGCATCGCCCTGCACAGAAAGAAACCTCTCCTTTGACACTCGCAGCCTTGCTGCAAGCTTTGCCTTCTTTTTCAGGGGCCTGGGGAAGATGAGGCCGTGAATATGTGGTTCTGATGGGGGCCAGGGCCAAGGAAGGGTCTGCCACCTCCCTGTCCCAGCCAGCCCTGCTCACAGAGGGAGTGTGCAGAGGGGCCACAGGAAGCCTGGGTCCAGGAGGAGCCACAGAGCAAAAACCACAGAGACAGAGGCCTTCAGGACATGGCAAGGGCAAGGGTCCAGCAGCACTGCCCTCAAAGCCCTGGCTGAGCATGTACATGACAGAGCGACAATAGCTCACTCACACCCCAGGACTTCAGTAGGTTAGTTTTCTTTTCAGTAAGGCCAAGTGGACTGTGAAGAACAAACAGTACCCACTCTGAGCTGAAACCCTGCAGGACACCACACGGGGAGAGATGTTTTACAGAAAAAGGAAAGAAAAAAATTTCCACGGCCATGTAAACTTGGGAAACTTTGCTAAAAGCATCCAATTTAGAAATATCATATATGGACTGAAAGATTTATAATCACAGTTGAAGCTTTTTTGTTAAAAAAAGGAAATCAAAAGGGCTTAGGAAACAATGTCATGGACTCAGTTCACCTCTAGAAAGGCTGGGGCCACAGTCACCGCCAGTGGCCCTGTGGCCTCCCCTGGCATGGAACTTCTGGCCCCAGCTCCAGCTCAGACACAGCCTCTGGCACTGCAGCAGAGAGGATGGCCCATCTCTGCCACTCAAGTAACATCCAGTCAGTGCCCATTTCATTCCCAGGACGGGCAGCCTATTTTACCCCAGAAAAAAAGTCCCCCAGCTTCATAGAGCTGGTAACTTCAATCCTTTCTCTCCGTGCTCTCCCAGGAAAGTGGAGCCTCAAAATAGCCTTCAGGTGTGCCGGGCCCCAGGACTGGGAGCGCTGACTTACCGGTGCTGGACATATGGTTCACACGGGCTGGGTTTAGCAGCTCCACGGGCTGGTCTCGGCCAGAAAGTCCATCTGCAGGACAGAGAAAGTGTTTGGCTTCAGAAACTGCTTGAATTTCAATGAGAACACTTTATGTTCAGAACCTCCACGAAGCAACTCCTCGAAAACAATGACAATGTATGTGTGTCCTTCTTACTTTAGAGATGACGGATTTTATTCTATCATGGGTCATTTTTATTTGCTGAATCAGGAAATAAAAGACCCTCAGTAGAATAACCAAAATAGTCCCCAAGTGAAGCTACCAAACTGACAAACACCAATTTCTGGCCAAAAATCTGGCTTAGCTGTTTGGTTTACTTCGTCAGCAACCACATTATACCTACTTGTGTTTATCAGAAGTCAGCCTTCCTGCAGAGACCACAAGCATAAAGACAATAACAACAGAAGAGCTACTCATTCTTGCCCATCACTAACAAATGGCCTGCCTATTGAGGGAAACAGCCCCCAGGAGGCAGCTTAGCTTAAAGCAGCAGTGGGTATGTGGGCGGGACAATCAAGGAAACAGATGAAGACACAAACCTTTTAGAAAAATACCTGGCCAGGAACTGACAATGTTTAAGAGATGGTTTCTGTTGCATCCCCTTTTAGACTTGGACTGTCTTTAGGAATGGTGTCTATGTGTTCCGGCTACTGCGGAGTTGGGTCCAGAGACTGTCCACCACCCAAGCTTGTAGAAGGCTGAATGTAGACAGCCTGAGACTTTCCACATTGTCTCAGAGAGAAAAGAAAGAAAACTAGCAAAACTTCCAGGAATCACGCTTCTTTAAAATTAGCTCCTGACAAATGTGTCAAATGGCCTGCGTGAGAGGCATGTCCTTATCCATGACGGTGTGGAAGGTACTTTTCTTACCAACTTAAGGTAGAAAACACAAGTTGCACAGAGCAGCCATCAGGTCCCTTAGGCAGACTTTCAATCGTGACAAAAACAAGCAACTTCAGGTTTACTGACTCTGTCATAAAACCTTGCTTTGTATCCAAAATGGGTAACATATTGTGCAGCCTTCACATTTTGTGTTATACAACTCCCATGTGTGTCTTTGGAGATGTTAAACATCTAAGGACAAAATTAGTGACCCAAGAAGGTCTAAAAACGTGCTCCCAAGAGCTGAAGACCATCTGAGGAAGGGGGCAAGGCATGTGAGGCCCCCAAATTGCCCTCTGTTATGGCCTGCATGAGCCCCTCAGCACTGCACAACAGAAGAGGGATGGAGCAGCTCTGACTGTGCACCCGCAGGGACAGCAGTTCCTGGGCAGCTCAGAGAACCAAATGCTGGTATTTGTAGTCTCTCCCACAGTCAGCACCCTCTCCCCAGTTCTGGCCATGTGAAGGTACCACAATAGTCATAAGAAAACAGCATATTAGAGGGTTAAGACAGTCCATGCTCCCTGAGTCAGGAGAAGGATAGAGGCAGGCCACTGAGGCCACCAGGCCCAACTACTGAGGCTTTTCTCCTGGAGCACAACCACCTCGAGCTGGCCTGACCACAGAACTGTAAACCTAAGGCTGTGAGCACCTTTATTGCCATTCACACGGACACCTCGAGACAGTGATGGGAAATGGGTCTCAAACCTTTCTCCTGAAAAGAAGTAGGTGAAATGGATTTCATTTATAAATGGAGTGATTCATTTAAAAAACTGAAAAATTCAGGAAAGTATATACATATTCTGACTTTTAACCCACTGTGAACACTTCAGAAACACCAAAAGGTACTTCTGAAAACCTGTCCAACTGCAGCTCCTGGATGGGCGGGGTCAGAGCAGGTGCTGGGAGGTACCACCTGTACAGGGCTCCACAGCTGGGCTCTGAGAACGCAAGGGCTATTCTCTCTGGCTCCACCAGCCAATACACATCCCTAAAGCGTCCTCCTCCACTCAACTCCTCAATGTCCACCCTCAGCTTCCATCTGAGTGAAACGCTAAAACCAGAAGCAGTTAAGACACCCAGACGCCAGCCAATGTCCTCATTTCACACTGCAGTCCATGGCACAGGGCAGCATCCAGCTCAGTACAGACCTTCCACGATGCAGGATGAAGCTACTCTCTGCCCCAGGCCTAAAGATCTCAATGCTCGCCACATGAATAAATGATGCCTAATAATACGTTCCTCCACCCACACTAAAGCTGGAAGATGCATTAAACCTCAATGCAATCAATCCCAAGTGTAAGTTAAAGGCACGCAGTATCAGAGTATTCAAAAGCTTCACCGTGTAGTTTAAATCACTGTATGGCTGGGCTGAGTCTTGGCTCACCCACCACATTTCCGGGCATTGGCCTAGGGCAGTGGTCGGCAAACTGCGGCTCGGCAAACTGCGGCTCGTGAGCCACATGCAGCTCTTTGGCCCCTTGAGCGTGGCTCTTCCACAAAATACCGACTTCTGCGCATGGGCCACAAAGTTTCAATCGCACTGTACGTGTGCGCCCAGGCGTGGTATTTTGTGGAAGATCCACACTCAAGGGGCCAAAGAGCCGCATGTGGCTCGTGAGCCGTGGTTTGCCGACCACGGGCCTAGGGTATGGCGTACTGAGTCACCAGAAAATAATCGTATGCGTGAACTAGCTGGCAGCCCACAAAACACTGCCATTGGATAAGAGCATGACAGATTCCATATGTAAACTGAAGCTGAGCAAAGCGCACGGTGTCAGGGAGAGGGACTGTGCCTATGCTCAATACACAGACAGGCTGGGCTGGCTGACATCGAGGCAACCTGTACACTCAAGCCCTAACCCTGACTGTTCCACATCCTTGTGGAATAAAGTCTGACTTAGATCTAGTAGGAAAGTGTTCTGGGCTAGCATTAGGTTACTATTAAGGTGCCCTGCCTCTCCAGAAAGGAGCTACTGTGTGAAACTGCCTACGAACAGCAGGAGGGTCTAAACACTCAATGTGCTTCACCATGGGTGCGCAAAGAGCACAGTCACTTGTGTACCGGGAGCTGACAGGACCACACTCACAAACACAGGCACTGCAAGGGGCAAGCAGAGAGGCCTGTCACCAGACACTTGCAGCAGAAGGCAGGGCAGCAGCATGAGCCCTTGACAGCTAAACATCCTGCCCTCGGCTCCTCCCAAGTCACTCATTCAGCAGGACACCATAAGCAGAAGCTGTGACCTCATCACTAAAGGAGGGAGACAAAAAGCCAAAAACAGGTGCTTTCAAAGAAGGCAAGTGACAGACCTGATAGGCAGGCCTCATGGAACTCAACAGCACAGAGTGCCTGGGAGATGTCTCTGAGCAGAAGCAAACAATGAGGGCCACCAAGAACAGACTGGACATTGGGACACAAGACACAGACAAGCAACACCGCCTCCAATACTGGCCCCAGAATCCTGCAATTACCTGGTTCAGGTGCCCAGACTGAGTCCTGGGTGTGTGACCCGGGCATGTGGTTGGTAAGAACCTGATCACATGGCAAAGACTCGGCTTGGGAACACAGAGGCATGTCGGTCCTCCCCTAGTCTTGGAGGATTCAAATCTAATTACAAAGAAAAGACGTCCCAACTCCACGTAATACTTGCAGCAGCACCCTATGTGTGCAAGTGACGTGCCACACAAACGCCATAGTAGTAAGATAAGAAAGTTGGAGTAAAGCAGCACAGGGACCAGAGCCAGTGACATATCCAAGCAAAGGCCTGACAAATCCAGTTCCATATCTCAGTTCCCATGAAAGAGACTTCAGGATGTGCAGCTGGGACCAAATCCTGGGACAAAGCGAAACCACATTTGAGGGGCAGAGGCTGCAAAGGCTGAGATGACAGTTCAGAACCCAGATCTAAGTGCATTGCCAGCATGTAACCAGGTAGCCAAAAGCAAAACACACACTTTGCCAGGAAGAAACAGCAAACAGTGGGAATACAACCACACAGGTACAGGCCAGTGCCCATGGAGACACACTGGTCCACGAGCCCATGCAGGCTTGCACCTTAATGCTATGTTGCTTCAGACAGCACGTTTCAGAGTGAGCTGAAATGAGGATTAGGCATAATTTCCATATTTATGTCCTTTGCTGAAAGTTCTAAGCTTTAGGAGGAAGCAGCGGTAAGAACCTAACATTTAACAGGAAGAAAGCAATCAAAGTCCTACTTCCTCTTGGACCCTGAAACACCCACTGCAGGCAGGTTTTCTCCCTGGTCTGCCTCCATGGGAGAATCTAATCTGGAAACCCATTGGATGGGACTGTGGTATTTCATGTCTGCAAATGGCTACTTAATTAGCTCATGGAGCTGAAAGAGGAGCACACATGCAGAAAACAGAAGTGGGGAGCATACATGTCCTCCAAGTCCCCTCACAATGTGATTCACCATGGGTGTGCAAAGAGCACAGTCACGTGTGTACCGGGAGCTGACAGGACCACACTCAGAAAGAAACAGCAGGGTCTGTTTCAAGATTATAGGCTCTAGCTTAAAAATAACTGCCTGCTGTAACTCAGTGTCATCCCAAGGGGCAGCACAGATGGCTTTCAGAACTCTACCTTGAGTGATAAGCACCGAGGTCTCTAACAGGAATCATGGCCTTTGGAGAAAAAGGAACATCACTCTCAACTCACCTGGCCTGCTCCCACATTTAACTCATGGGGAAAGGGCCCAGCAGGGCTGAGCTCTGTGCCCAAGATCATGAAGTTGGCACCCCCAGAACCCAGCATGGTCTCATCTAGACCAGTCCCAAGCCTGAACTGGATCTGGGGCAAAAGCTCACTCACCAGGACCTGTACCAGCAACTTAGGGCTTCAGGAACAGCTGACTCCTCCACCCCAGGAACCTGTGCTAAAGAGGAAGAAAGCAGGAAAAGACAGACAACACTAGGAAAAAAAGAGAGAAGAAAGGGTTGGGAGGGATGAAAGCACATACCAGTTATGATTCATGCCCTCTTTCACTTTTCAGGTCCAAGTTTCCAAAATTTCTTAAGAACAGAAAGAGTTCACAGGGCCTTCAATGGAACCCACTGACAAAGTTGGGCAAGTGCCAGAGATACTGGCCCAGGGAGGCCCCCGGCCCCAGCTGCACTGTGAAACCTG